TATATATATATATATATATTATTATTTTGTTGAGAGACAAATTCATCTTTGGTTTTAACATCACCAGCTTATATACAAGCAGGAAATACTTTCCAAGTATAATACCGGGGACTGGGAGGAACATATGCTTGAGCGATAAACAAAGTGCTCATTGCTGTTAATAAAATATTCAAAATCATATGCTACAGCTTACTGCACGTGATGCCTGGGGAAAAAGTAGAAACAGCTCAAAATTCAAGCACATAATAACTACTCATAAGAGTCATAACACTTGATGGTTATCAAGTCTGGAGGACCCAAATACTAACGTTACGTTAGATAATCTTTGACATGTAATAAGTATTATTAATTGAGATGATGAAAATAGTCTGAGACTATCTAATAATTTCTCGGGACCTAATGGTTCGAACGCTATGCGGCGTTGGTTGAGAGTTCCGACGCATGACGGTGATGAGATCGACGAAAGCACTGAGAATGAACTTGTGGGAGTTCTTGTGATTGAGGTTTAGATAACAGAACAAGAGGTCCTCCATGAAATCCCAATCAACGAGGCTTCCATGGTGGTTGACCATTTCCTGCATGGAGCGCCTGAAGTCGTGGCAGGGGTTGGTGGAGTGCGTCAAGAGAGCGATGCTATTATCCGGAAGAGCTTGATCCTTCTCACAACTATTCCAAGACGAAGAAACTTGGGTCGATATAGTTGAGTTGGATCCACTTGTTAATGTGTTGTCCTCTGCCAGTGACCCTGAGAACCCTCTCTTCACCAACAATCTGGTGGACCCTCCAATGTGACGTGGCGTTTCCAAGCATGACTCATCGTACAAAATCGAACCTTGCTTTGGACCTTCCTCTTCCAAGACCCGTTTGGTGTCTTCGGTTTCTTCGTCGTCTTTAAGGTAGAGGGACCTGAAATTCTCCAAAAGAAAACGGTCAATGTCTGCTAAGGTGGCTGCATCGTCCTTGATGATGTTGTTGTCGTCGTTGTCGGAAACATGAACATGAACATGAACATGTTCACGTTCACGTTCACGTTCGTTTCTGCCACTGTATATGGCAAAGGAAGGTGTCCTAGGATTCTTGCAGCCAGAGAGAATATTCCAGCTCTTAGAAGAGGGTAGTTGGATTTGAGGGCGAGGACGAGGGCTCTTTATTTTGAAGAAGTAATCTCGAAGCCTTTTGGGCATGGTTGTTATTGCTACTAGCTAATGGAAATTGTGAATCATGTAATGGGTGGAGAAGAAAATGAGGATTCAAGGGATGGGGTGAGAGTGGTTTATTTATATACGAATAAAAGGGGACATGTATGCATGTGTGACACGAAAATGTGTTTGACTATGTCCTTATTTAAATAAATTTTGTTTGGGGAGAATTTGGTGAAACGCACGGACTTGGTTGGGTTGGAATCATGCTTCTTGCCAAATCCAATTGAAAACTAATTTCGGACGCTCATTTCTTGGCCATAATCATGATCTTTTCACCATTTGTGTCCACTTTGAATTTTGCAATGTGTGAATGATATTGTGGTGATTGTCACTTTCTGGAGTGAGGGTAGTGGTAAGAATAAGTATAATATTTATTTTTGAAAGCAAAAGATGATTTTTGGATGGTGTGAATAGAGAGAGAGAAGTCATACTCCACCTTATAATTAATATGTTTAGGAATTAGGAGGCAGTTTAAATCTGCTTAATTGTGTAACATTAAATTTTAAGAACAACTCACAAGCATTGATGGTGAAATTAGTAACATAACAATAACGTTTATGACTCTTAATTCTTCTTAAAATTTTAATGCTGTTAGTTCGAGGTTAAAATTACATTAAATATATATAACGTCAATTATCAACATGATGACAGATATTATAAAATTTTAAAAATATATATATATATAATCAATCAGTATAATTTTATCTTTAAAATAGGAGTAAAGATGAGTTATATCTCTTAAAATGTCAATATCCTTATTTATAAGAATCATTTTTAAATTTCTAATATAATTAAATTTTAATATTATTTCTTTCTTATTTATTACAAGTGTATAAAATACTTAAGGATGTAAAGATAAAGATATAATTAAAAATAAAAACTAAAATAGTTATACGTTTTCATTAAAAAATATATATAACAAAGTGATATATTCAATTGAAGGACGGAAATCAATGAACCACAACTATTTATCATGAACATGATATATGCATGATATATGCAATGTTCTAAAATTGATAACCACGAATTAATATACATTTGTGAAAACATATGCATTGACATATGTGAGTTTGCATTATAATCACTTAAACAAGATATATGTTCAACTAAAAGAAATAATTAGTAAATAATCACTAAAGATAGTTAGTCAAGTTATTTAATAAAAATTATTCATTTTTAAGGTTAGTGAATATTTTGCACTAGTAATAGAATGACCCAAAAAAAATTTTTTTTAATAGAAGTTAGTCATTTATAAAGACAATAAATACTGATTAAATAATACAAAGACACTCTAAAAGTGAATGAGTGTAACAACAAGATGGTAACTCAAAAAGTGTGCATGCAAAAAATAAATAAATAAAAAAACTAAACTTATGATGATACACACCTTACATAAATTAGGCATTTGTAATAATAAAATCTCTACTGTCAATATTTAATTATACTTTTAAGTTATGTTAAATTAAACTTATCAAATTATAAACTTAATCTACTTCATAAAAAATCAATACAATCCATCATAATTTTATAAGTAAGTTACGTTACTTTTCTCAAATAGAAATAAGAATATTACATTACTATTTTCTCTTATGTTAAAATATATAACTTATTTTATTTAAGTTTTAACATTATTAATGTAAATTGCACTCCCGTAAGTATTATACTTTTCATCCTTCATATATTAAAACATTAATTAAATTACATTTTATCATATTATATTAATTAATGAAAAAGAAATACTTTGCGTCTTTATAAATTTTATTTAAAAATAACTAAAAATAGAAATAATAAAAATTATAACGTATAAATAAAGTAAAATAATATATATTAAGAATGGGTAAAATAATCTTAAAAACCAAAGATAATTACAAATATATGAATAGTTTATATATTTTAATAAGATCTAAACATATAACAGTTTAAAGAACTAATATTTTAGCCTCTCATTTTGCAAGTTAAATATTTTTTTATTATATGGTAAATATTTATTACATATATCTAAATTGTATAACAAATTATATACAGATAAATGCTATATTTAAATAAATAAACTATGTTTAACTGGTATTTAAAAAATTAAATATGTTTAATTCTTTAATATTAAATGTTCTGATAATATTAAAAAAATTATTTATCAATAGTTTATATATTTTAATAACATCCAATTATATAATAATTTAAGAATTATTATTTTAGTTTGTGCATTTTATAAGTTAAATATTTATCACATATATCTAAAATTTATAATAATTATATACAAATAAATATTATATTTAAATAATTAAATTATATTTAAAATTTATACAAATAGATATTTTAAATATGTAAATTATATTTCAGATTAAAGATAAATAATTTATAGTGACAAAAGATTATTTTTATTTTAAAAATATTAAATTTTATTTCATAAATAAATAATTGAATTATATAAAAAGGATAAAAAAAAACTCTAAAAATGTTTCGATCAAAAAATAGTTTGTGCATTTGGATTGAAGAATTTGGAGTAATTCATTTTTTTATAAAGAATTTCAAATACATTGGGATAAAATATTTTGTTTAGATAGAGAATTTACAAAGAATTTGAAATTCAATCATTTGTGAAAATTTTTAGAATAGTATAATTTTAAGTTCTCCCAAAAAAAGTAAAAATTTAAATTTTTTTCATTCTATTTCTTACTTATCTCACCTACAAATCATTTTTCTCTCCAATCAATTTTATCTATGGTAAAAATTAAATTATTATGTCTAAATTAAGAATTTAAAATTTATAAAATTTGAATTGACTTATCCAAATAAAATATTTAAATAATGATAAAAATTGAAATTAAAGTAATTTAAATATTAAAATTTTAAAATTTTTAAAATTCCTCGTTTAATCAGTTGTTGATTTGAAACTGGTGCCTTATTCAATGAATTAAAACTCAGATTCACTATCAACTACGTATTGATCGAGAATTTATAATAAAAATAATAATTTAATGACATCTTAATAATTATTTTAGCTATTATTTAAAATATTAAATTTGTTTAAGTATTTAATATTAAATGTTTTGAGAATAATAAATGTTTTATTTATTGATAGTTTATATATTTTAATACGATCTAATTATACAATAATTTTAAAAAGTAGTATTTTATCTTATACATATTTCAGGTTACATGTTTATTATATATCTAAAATTTATAATAAATTATATACAAATAAATATTATATTTCAATATATAAATGTATATTTAAACATTTAAATTATATTTTAAATTTAAAATAAATAATTTTTACTGATATAATATTATTTTTATTTATTAATAATTTATTTTAATAAAATTATATTTTAATTCATAAATAAATAATTAAATTTGATAAAAAGTTAAAAATTCTTTAAAACTCACTCATCAAAATAATAGTCTCTAAAAATATAATAATTACTGTCATTTAATATAAAGGTGTTGATATATTTATAATAAAAAAATATTTAATTCAATTGGTCGAGTAAGTTGCATATCTTTTAATATCAAATTCGGTTTTTGTATAAAAAAGTATGTATTAATAATTTTAATTATAAAATATTACTTTTTATAATTAAATTATATAAATAAATAAAAATTGGCCCGAAACATGTGAAGCTGAATGAGGATCTGGGTTGGGCGATCCTAACAGAAGAGCAAAAATCATATATCAATTAGGACATCTCCAATAGAAGTAATTCATTTAAGTTGCTTCATGTATTAAAAAATGAAATAAGTGGTCCTAGGTATATCATGTCAACATTAAACAATTCAAACACAAATTTACTAAGAAACTTTAAGAAATTTAACTTTTAGAATTTTTTCTCTAATTATTTATGAACCAAATTTAAATTTTTATTAAAAAAGATAATTGCACTACAATAAAATAAAATAAATTACGAAAAAAATTTATAATAAGTAGATATTAAAAATAAAATAAAACAATAATAAATACATAAACATTATACGAAATTAATTTTCATCATTATTATTTTCGAGACGTTTGCAAATATGTTCAATAAGATATGCTTGAAATCTGGTAAGGAACAGTTGCTTGAGGAAGCAACTCTCTCTCTTTTTCAAACAACTCATGTTACCACATCAAAATCTTTCAATAACAAAAAACTAAGATTTAAATTACTTCATGAGACAAGCAACTGTGAAATTCCTTAATTCTTGGATGGAGAATCATATTCAATTACATCACATCACAGAAACTATACATAATTAGCCACAAACATCACTACTTCTTTAACATTAATTATTAGAAAAATATTGGAGATTCCGACTAAATTCACTAAATCGTGTTCCAAATTATTAAAAAAATAATTTAAATAATAAAATATTAAATTAAATAATTATTTTATAATAAATTTATTAAAAATATTAATATTTTAATTATTCGGAGGATGATTCGGAACCTCGTTCGAAAACTATAGCAATTCTCTAATTGTTATCCTTGTTTCTCATTGAGGGATGTCAATACTCAAGACTTCACCATATATGTTAGCAGTTTTTACTAGTAAATCCGCATGACCAGTAAAATGTGCGTGGAAATAACTGTATTTAAAAAAATTGGAATACTAAAAGTTACAAACATTTTTTATGAACTAATTGATGTTACTAAATTGTTTTGGTCAACCTAAATGCAATTTAAAATAATAAAATATAAAAATTCAGTTTGCATAATTACCAAAATAAGTTCCTATTTATGTTACATTTTTTGTTAAATTTGACAAAAGAATATAAAAATAATAATAATGCCATAAAAATGATAAATGAATATGAGCAGAAATATTTCTTAAAAAAATAGAAAAAGGGTCATAAAATGTCTAGCTACTTTAACCTCCCCAACACTCGGCCGACTTGATTGGCTTGTTTGCAAGTGATTTAGGTTTTTAATTAAGTACAATTAATATTGTTTTTACCAAAGACAATATTATTTTAAAAAAAGATATTTAGACTATTTTTCATTTAGATTTTAATTATTACATTTTTTAAAAACAATTACTTAAATCTTATTTATAGTGGTTAGTCATCAGTTTTTTTTATATAAAAATTTAAATTAAAATAGTTTTTAATTTTAT